AATCCAGAAAGTGAGGGAAACACAAAAAAGTAAGTACAAGGTCGGCCTTCTAGCAGAGTATGGCTGTGGAGGGGGCTAATGGATGATACAGGGCACATGCTGCTTATTTTACTCATAAGTATCCCTTTCTGTATTGACAATATGAATGTTAATCGGGACTCTGGTTGGTGACAGAAACTCAATTTGATGTCATTAAAAAAAAAGGAGAAACTGGAGGAAGGGCAGGGGAGGAGCTGAATTTAAGGAAATAAATGCTATTGGGGCACATACACACTTCCTCACCTCTGCATGTTGGTTTGTTTTGTAACAAAGTGGGGACCTGGTCTCCAGCAGCACTGGGATGGGCATCTTTAGAGCAGTATCATAAGATATAAAGCTCATCTTCCAACTCCATAGAGAAAAGTCTTAGAGAAGTTTGCTGAGATGTAAATGAAGATTTGTATAAAAGGGGTGGGAAGACTGATTTGAAAGATGTTAATACATACCAAATTAACATATAAGATGAATGTAATCCTAACAAAATCTCACTTGAATTTTTTCGGAATATAAAAAAAAAGTCTAAACTTCACCAAGAATTTGCGGGAATACCAAGGTTAAAAAAAAAAGTAACATCGAAGGCAATTTGCTTATTAAAATCCATTATCAAGTGATTAGTAATTAAGTGTTATATTAATGGAATGGCAAAATAATTGGACAAAACAGGTATGTGTAGATATATGCTTAAATAAAAGGACCCAAACCAATGGGTGGGGATGAATTAACCAATACATGGTGCTGGGAAAATTAACTATATAGAGAAAAAAATTCATGCTAGTCACATTTTATACCCAAATAACTTCCAAATGAATTAAAGAGAAATGTAAAAAAAAAAAAAAAAAAAAAAAAAAGCATAAAATATAACAGATGAGATGAATATTGAATCTTGGGATGCAAAGGACTTTAAGCATAGAAAGATTTGATAATACAAATGTACAACTTAAATGTCAAAAAATTACATGCAAAATTAAAAGGCAACTAGCATACTAGGAAACTACTGAGGAACTATATTGTATAAAATTTTTTTAATAAATGTTTACTAAATTATGTCTTTGATTAAATGTCACTCTTCTAAAATCATTAGGGAAAAACAAAGCTAATTTTAGATATAGTAAAAGGTAATTAATACTAATAATATTTTTGAAAATAACAAATGCTTTCAATTGGCCATTCATGATTTAGTATAACTTTATTTTCATTATACTTAATAGAAGTTAAAACACACACAAGAAATAAGGCTCATGTATTTTTCATCTTTAGAAAATTAAATCCCTCATGATCAAGAGTGGTTATTCTATTTTATATTCTTCAACACAGATTCTCTAAGAATAGCTTAACGCAAATCACTTAGGTTTCTCTGTACATTAACTGTAGTTGCTGGTATAATTAAAAAAGAAAACTTGTAAAAATGTCATTCACCTGACATGGAAAATTAACCACATAGAATGAGGTCAATGATGTTTTGAAATTAATAAAGAATTGATTTAACTCTGTTCAAGAGTTATAACTGAACTTTTTTTTCCTAATGGAAGAACAAATTCAGAATATATTTTGCTTTAAATACCGATTTAAAAAAATGAATGAGAAAGTATAAATATTGGCTAAAAAGATAAATGGGTATATTCAATGAGAATTATTTCGATTATCCATAAAATGATATAATACGTTATAAAAATATTAAATTTTAGGCTACCATTATTCATTTAAAAAAGTGTGCTAGAAGGTTTTTTTGCCAACTTTTTTTTGGTAAGGGTTAAATTCCACATTAAGATATTGAAGACGAAAAGCTGTTGGGAAAAAATCTTCAAATGTACAAAGTTGTTTATTTTTTTTGGCAATTTAAAAATACATAACCATTTAAACTGAATACACATTGAGTTAGTGTTATTTCCTCACTATACAATTCATATACGGAACAGCTCCATTCAGTTAAAACCTAATACCATCAACTTTTCCTGGCTTATTTTTCTGAATAGAATTAGTACATAAACATATAATTTTATTATCCTTTATTAAATGCTAGAAGAATTATATCATAGTTCACATGAAGCCCTTTAAAAATCTGATATCACAGGTTGCAGATGTTAAGGGTAAATGATGACGGCAGTCTTCGTAGGAAGATCCTCTTGAAAGAGGGATTCAATACTATGCAGGTTATGTAAACATAAGAAACCACCACAATTTTTAGTACCAGAACTGTTGCCAACTACATGAAGTTCAACTGTCACATTTTAAAATGATCTGAATTTCAACGTAGATACTATGGCATGGAACTTTAAATTTGATGATTAAATCAGTTAACAGATAATGGTTAAAAATTATATTTCTAAAATATGGGGATCTGATGTATTGCTTTATTTAAAGTATGACTATAAAAGAGTATTTAAAAACATAAATATCAGACTTTTGTCAGATTCAGTTCCTTTGCTAGATCCTTAAGCCAGTAATGCTGCTATTCAAATTCCTATTTTGGAATTTCTTTCTGAGTTAATCATAAAAATCAGTCTTTTTTGTATGTTTACTTCTGCACTTTAAATGGATAAAAACTGCCCCCACCCCCACTCCACTTTTACCATTGTTCTTATTCTGAATAAGTTTTCCTCTTCAAATCAACTAAATTCTAAAAGGGAAAAATTCATCACACTGGACTTTTAAAAATGTTTTGCATAAAAGCTGTATCACTGGTATTACTGGGAAGCCTTAACTTAGTTATTTTGAGACTATCATTTATTTAGTGATTATCATACGATTAGTCTTATAGACATACCTTATAACTCTTAAAATCTCACAAAAAAAGTGAGCAGCTTTGAGTGCCAGCAAAGCCATTTTGTCATTCCATAACATCGACATTAAACATAACATTCCCTCTATCTGTAAAACTTTCACATTTCATTTTCTCATATTTCTTTTAAATACATTTTCCTCTCTGTTAGTCTATATGCAATAAGAGCAAAAGTGCATTCAAGTCCCTGACCTAGTGATATTTTATATTTGAGGCACCCATCACTATAAGCACATATTTAGCAACATCTCATATTACCAGTCTATTTTTTAAAAAGGACTATTTAAATGCTAGGACTTTTTCCCCTTGGATTGGATAACAATTTCAATTATAGATTGCCTTTAAAAAAATCAATGCAACCTTATAAAAGATTAACTCACTTTCTAGTTCCTTCATTATTCTAAACTGAGCTATTCAGAAAATGATTAAAGTGAAAAATTTCTTCCTCTACTTTCCAGTTCCATGAATTTGAGTGTTGACATAGTGCATTATACTTTCAAATCCCACCACTGTCATTTAACATTTAATCAAGTTTTAGATGTTGTTTATATTCCTTTTTGCTTCTAGAAACCTCACTCATTTCCATGCAAAGGAGGCATATACTAAGATTGCATGTTAACTGTTCAACTTATAAAAAACTTTTGAAAATAATGAATACAAGAAAATTTTAGAAATGGAATGAAATTTTTGGTCCCATGAAGTTAGCTTATTTTAGATTTTACTACGGTATAACAGTTTTTATCTTCCGAGTTTTGTCTATAATGAGAAATAATTTTCTCTTAACAATTCTGAGTTTGGGGAATAAAAGAAATAAAGTGATTTACAAACAGTAGCCTTGTTGCTCTTCATTGTCATATGCTATCACTCACACTGTCATCAATATCTTAGCTATACTTTCTTTGGACCCCGAAATAAGTTGGAAAATTCATCATTGGTACTTTAGAGTTTAACATTTGGGAAAAAAAAAGTGGTGTTGTGCAACCATATCTGGAATTCCAGTTTACCATTAAAAACATGCAGAGTGAAGATTTTCTTCTTTTGATTCCTGTAAATAAGTGAGGAAGTCTACATAAGTTTTTTACATTTTGGCAGTTTTGTGCATATAAGGTAGGCTACTTGAATTATAAATTTTCTCCTGGCTGATACTGTGGCTCTGTAGCAGTGAAGTAGTCTTCTAAGAAGGACTGGATATATTCAAATGTTGGTCTTTCATCAGGATCTTTCTTCCAACAAAGATTCATCAATTCATGCAGGGATTCAGGACAGCCCTGAGGGCAAGGCATCCTGTATCCTCGTTCCACCTGTTCCAGCACTTCACGGTTTACCATACCTAACAATATCAAACATTGCATACAATGAACCTATTGCAATCGTTTCACAATATATGTAAATCAAACCATCATGCTGTATGCCTTAAACTTATAGTGACGCAAGTCAATCATTTCTCAATAAAACTATATAAAAAAAGAACAAAACAAATCCCCTACCCATGAACTGATTCAAAGTACAGTAGGTTTACTTAGTGGGATTATTTTAACAAATAAATAAATTTTCAATGTTAAATTATATCAAGAAGAGCTTAAAAAATGAGATCTAGCTTGTTCCAACATATCTATTTTTTTCCCCCACCAACCTTGCTTTTAAACACTAATCCTTGCTCAATTCTTGCTTTTAACACTAATATGTTCAAAAACCAATCTCATTTGATTAATGAAAATTTAGGGTGCTACTTTGAGGTACTGGTACTTTCTGACATTAACAGTTATTAATGACCAAACTTAGGCTAATGAGGAACAGTGGCAAATACCTTCAATTACTTGTAAGACAGGGGTTGTGGTGAGAGGAAGATGGATGACCCAGGATATTTAAGATGTGTTTATCTGAGAGTATAGTGGAGATAAATAACCCTTTTGGAAATGCCCTAAGGAAAAAAGCTGAGATGAATGTGGGGCGCACCTCCTGTGTGTGCCCTAACTCAGGGATTATGACTCTCATAGGTTACTGTCTATCCGATGCCAAAAATAAATAAATAAATAAGATGGGGAGGGAGGGAGAGAAGAAAAGAGACAGAGAAATAAAAAATAAAGTTCTTTCCCCCTCTTTACTTTTCTGCTCCTAATAATCTCCAGTTAAAGTCAGTGATGGAAAAACCAAGAGCTAATGAAATGCAAGCTTTACCTGGATATGGCACTCTGCCCTTTGTTACCAGTTCTGTCTGTAGAATTCCAAATGACCACACATCAGACTTTATTGTAAATCGACCATATAGTGCAGCCTCAGGAGCTGTCCATTTGATTGGAAATTTTGCCCCTAAAACAGTATTGACAATCTTAAGTAAATTGTTCCTAAAAATCTATTTGTGTAAATACGGCATAAGGAGGGCTAATTTTTTGTCAGTGTCCTTATATCTGTCATTAGTGTTCAAAAGTATACGATACATGGGAAAAATTTTTAATATTTAAAATTTGTATTAAAAGAAATCACATTTCTTCCTGATAAGATATTCAATGACATAAAAAAAAATGAGTACTGTTGGTGGGGACAGAAAACCATTCAAGAAAACAGAGGTAGAAACTGTACTAAGAAGCAACCAAAAACATGGATTATAGCACCTATAACTTTTAAGTAAGTCTATCACCTAGTAACTATACAGCTAACTGTTGTTGGTTAAAGAGGGCAATATTCTGTTGGGTTCTAATACCTACTGGTTTTTAACAGCAATCTCTTTTATTTTATGATATTTCTCTGGAAAATTTTATTGTACTGTCATTTTTAAAAGCCTAATTTATTCAAATATTTAGTTTATGCTTTTTATGCACAACACTTCATGCTAATTGTCATGGGGGACAAAACAGCCTTTGTGAAGCTTATATACTTATGGTGGCGATTACAGGTGTCTTACATACTTCAAGTTATTTCTATATGTATGTACATCGTGTTGTAAAATAGTTCTTTAGATGTCCAAACAGAAGATCAATTTTTGCTAGCATAATCACAAAAAGTTTCATTAGAAAAGGGTTAGTTAAGTTAAACCTTAGAGAACAGTTAGAATTTTTACAGGTAAAGATTTTAGAATAGGAAAATATTCCAGCTGGAAGGAACTGCACAAAGGTGTGGAGGTTGAAAAGAAAGCACTGTGCTGCAGGTAGGGTTTCTCAACCTGGCACTACTGGCATTTGGGGCAAGATAATTTTTGTTTGGTGGGGGACTAGTTTCTATGTTGCAGGATGTTCAGCAGTCATGTCTGGCCTCTACCCATCAGATGCCAGTAGCAGGCTCTCAGTTGTATCAACCAAAAAGTCTCAAGATATTGATATTACCTAATGTTCTCTAGGGGACAAAACCACTCCTGATTGAGAAACTATGGTTTAAAACAGCGGTTCCCAATGATTTGTGTATCAGTGTGGTCACTGATAAAAAGAGAGAAAAAAGGATTACGTATCAATTTACAAAGCTAAAATTATTAATTCACAGGTATGTCCTTTATTCTGAGATTACGTCTTTCCTAGTTGTATAGTGTTAAAATGTTCTTTAATGAAATGGTAATAGATGGTAATAGATAGCTGAAAAACAAATTTTTTTTTGGTGTGTCTACTATTTAAACTTTCACTAACATTTTTACTGGGCTTACCCGATTGGATTGAAAGAGTTTACAATTTGGTCTCAGGCATTAGTCAGTGAGCTCCTTGACAGCAGAAACTGTGCCCTCTTAACAGCTGTGCCCTCCCGCCTAGCACAAGCAGCGACTCCAGTATCTGTTACAGGAAAAGTGGAGCTAGAGTAGGAGATAATGAATGACGAAGCATCTTTTTTTTGTAGGTGTGGGGGGGGGGGTCACTGAGGGTTTCATGTAGGATGAGCGACCTATGGGTGATGTGTACTGGACCTTACTCAATCTCTGCCTGTCAAGGTTACATTCTTTCTTCAAGGCCCTGCTCTCAAGTCATCACCTCTGTGAAGTCTTTCCTGCTCTGCTTTCCCACACTGTTTTCCATATTCTTTTGACATTAATCACACATAGCTTCTTTTATAGTTATTTATATGTTCTACCTTGCCCATTAAAATGTAAGCTCTAATATACACTGAGCATCTACCATGTTAGGTAATGTCGGGCACTATATAACTAGTACTTCATTAAAGTTTCACAACAACCTTGAGAAGTAAAACATTAGCATCTAGTCTTTATTAGTGAGGAGACTGAGGCTCAGTCAAAGAGGTTTGATAACTTAATTGAAATCCTGGGACTAATAACAGATGGAATCGGGATTAAAAAACCCATTCTCTTTCCATATGCATGTATTATGTGTTCATTAAGTAGGTACTAAATGAGAGTTTAGAGAGATGCCAAGCAGAAGAATCGACCTATACTAATTTCCACAAGTTCCCTTCTCTTACTCTTTATAGCATCAATCTTCTAAATGTTTTTATTTATAATAATTTTATATATAGTAAGGAATTACTGTAAATCTGGCATAGAAATGGTTTCCAAAGCCTTTATAAAATTGTATGCTATTTATTACTATATTAGTTTCAAATGTACCTTTTCTCATCCTTAGTGTAGTAAAATCTGGACGGTTCTCAAGTTTTTTACAAAGGAATTTAAAAATGTTTATTTGTTGGCATGCCACAAGAAGCATAAAGAGGAGAGTAAAGGGAATGTAAAGAGAGCTATATTTATAATGCAAAGAATATCAGTCAGGTTCTTCCTTGGGGGAATTAACTATCAGAAAGCCATGATACCATGTATTACATATAATTTTATGAATAAAATCAATGTTTCTTTGACTCTTCTGAGAAGATCTAGAGCTATTCTTATTCTGTAAACCTTGTATATTCAAAGGAATGGTAAAAAAATCTGTTGAACATTAGGTTACAAGCATTTATTAAAATGTAATTTTACCTTGTCTTGCCGTATATTCATTGTCTTCAATTAACCTTGCTAAACCAAAATCTGCTATTTTGCACACAAGATTTTCTCCTACGAGAATATTGGCAGCCCGAAGATCTCGGTGAATATAGTTCATTCTTTCAATATATGCCATACCATCAGCAATCTTAGAAAGAAAAGAAAAGACATGATACAAAGGGAAGGAAGGAGAAGACAATTTTGGTTAATGTTAAGTCAAATCACTGAAAACTCATCTCTCTCGAAAGGAGATGATGGTAACAGTCTGGCAGATAATAGAAAACACTAATAGAGGAGGAAGAGAGGCAAGGAGAATGAGAGGGAGGGGGAAGGAGAGGAGAGTGAGAGGAAGAAAAGCAGCAAGAGGAACAGTAACAGAGATATACTGGCCCACAAAGCCTAAAACACTGTTCTGGTCCTTTATGTTGATGCCAACCCCCAATACTGAGTGTTTATGACCCTTGAACTCAGGAGTATGGACTAGGCTTGGCATTTCAGCACATACTGTAGATTTCCAATACTATTTTCTTTGGAATAGCGATCATTCATTGTTTTAAAATTTATCTGTTAAAATATACATATAAATTTTATATTTCTGGAAGACTACATGATAAGGACAGAATTGTGATGGGAGTTACATGCTTGGTTCTAATACTAATGTTATATGAATTTTAGATACCTCTGGTCTTCAGATATCACATTATCTATAATATAAGGAGATCAGATTATCTCTAACGTCCCTTCTAGCTCTAAAATTTCAAGACTTCATTATATAAACAATAGTATTCTACTAAAATTATTTTACATTTTTAATGTAAACTTTCAATTCAAATTGATACATGTAGAAATACACAAGTACCTGAGCAGCCATATCAACCAGTTGTGGGAGCTTCAAATACTTTCCATCTCCCTCCTTCAGGAAATCTAATAAGCTCCCTATAAGAGACAGCAAGACATTCATGGAAAATTAGCAACTCATAAATTAGGATCGAAAAGACATTCCCCTCCCTCTAAAGAAATCACTACACCAAGATATAAAACTTCAGCTTCTCATTCTTTATTAATTTTTGCAGCTTTGGAATTTCTGAATAACTATTTTTAAGATTCCAGAAGAGGTCCCTAAACTAAAATTTTATAAACTTCTCCCAATAACATATGAAAAAAAGGAAAATGCAATAATCTCACCAGATTACAGGCATTTCTTCCATGCTTTGATCAAGATCAATGGTCCCAATTTTGATCCAAAAAGTAATATTAGATACGTATATATTTTGAAGTCAATCTGAAATCAAGAGCTTAGGAAAATGGAAATATTTTGGGGTACTTAAAACTAAATCTAGGTGGCCGAGTTGACACGGAAGTGTAAGTCCAACTAACTTCTCTCAGTTTTAGCAGAAGATATCATGAACACTAAAGTACTATGAATAACAGCAGAGAAAGGCTAGAAAGCAAAAGTCTAGTTGCTATTCCTCTTACTGGTTAAAAATTTACCATGTTCCTGAATTTAATCAGGAGAAAATATCAGACAAGCCCAAATTCAGATACATTCTATAAAACAAAGACAGTGTTCTCTTCAAAAATAACACATAATGAAAGACGAGAAAGGCTGCAGGACTGCTCCAAATTAAAGGAGACCGAAAAGAAATTACAACTAAAAGAAATCAATGACCATGGACTGGATACTGCATCAGGAAAAATTGGTATAATTAAGGACATCACTGAGCTGACTGGTTTGAAATCTGAATATGAGCTGGCAGGTTGTAGGTAAGAGAAATGTACCAATGTTGTATTTCCTCATTTACATCCTTATGCTGTGATTATCTAAGACAATGTCCCTGTCTTTAGGAGACAAATGCTCAAGTATTTAGAGGTAAAGGGAACATAATGTTTACAATAAACTCTCAAATGGTTCAAGAGAAAACCCTTATATTTTTTATATATTGATAGATATATCTAGTTAACAATTGACTAATCTGGTCGAAATACATATGAGACTTCTTTGTATTAGTTTTGCAACTTTTCTATAAGTTTAAAAGTATTTCAAAATAAAAGTGTAATAAAACAGAACAAGACAAAGAAAGCCCTTTCTATGTTGACAGGATTATGAAACAAGGGAATGTCATGACTTAGTCTCATTTATAGAGATTCAAAGTCAGAGACTATTTATATTTCTTCTGGTCTGTCTACTGCAGGGGGAACATGTTACTGTGCTTGTTCATCTGCCCACTCAAATATTTGCTGAGGGTCATGTTAGGCACTGTAAAAGGTATAGAAGATACAAAGATTAACAAGTCATGGTCTCTGCCCTTGAAAAGATTTTGATCTAGTCTTATAGATCTAGAACCTATAAAATATATGTAAGCATAAATATTGTACAGTAGGTATTATAAAAATTTTTGTAGAAACTACAATGGATACAGTTAATTCGTCAGAAAAGCTTCACAGAGGGAGTGCATTTAAAGGAGAATAAGGGCAAACAGGGAATTCCAAGAAGTGGGTAACAAGTACAAAGGCTGTAATGCATAAAACAGCACAGTTTAGGGAACTGAAAACAGTCCCTCCTATTGGCTCCAGTTCCCAGTGCCTCTCCTCTGCACCCCCTTCCTGGCCTCCCGCACCCACCAAACTTGACGTGACCCCAAGTCCCATGTGGCGACAGCCCCTCTCACTGTCCAGCCCTACATGCCTCCAACCACCACTCTGTCCCGCACCCCGGGGACGCACGGGCTCACTGCACCCTTTTGCACCTCCTGTGCCCCTTCCCACCTCCTCTGAGGGCAGAGACCTCCTTGCTCTTCATGTTCTCTTCCACTCCATACCCACTTCCACCCCCCCACCTCACCCCTGCCCTGGCACTATGAGCAAAAGTTTTTTTTGGGGAAAAAAAAAACCAGTCCCTCATATGTAAGAACATAGAGCATAAAGATGGGAACTAACAAGAAGGCTGCAGACAAGAACACAGAAAGCAATGCACAGATGGACTTTATCTCTTTTATATGAAGTTTTATGCTGAGAAATAATATGATCAGATTTATGTTGAAAAAGTAATATGAAGAATGAAATTGGGCCAAACTGCATAAAAGGATTAAGTTTAAATTTCTTGTAATTGTCTAGGAAAGAGAAACCTTTATGTTAAAATCTAGCAATGATAGTGGAAACAGCAAGAAAAGGGAAATTTCCACAGGTTTAATAAATAAGATCGAGAGCAGTCAATAAACTATTCCTACAAAAGGGGTTGGGGAAGTGAACATTGCTGGGCCCCATCCTGAATCTGTGTTTCTAAGGCGTTTCCAGGTGATGCTAAGGCTGCTGCCATCCAATGCAATACAACCTCTGCACATGTGCAAAAGGAGACAAGTATGAAGATATTTACTGCTGCATTGTAACAGCAAGGAACTAAAGGCAACCTAAATGTTCACTGGGAAATGAATGAACAGTGGTATATTCATGTAAAATCTCATTCAATAGTTAAAAGTATATGAAGTAGATCTTCTCTTATCCACATGAATAAATCTTTAAGAGCACATGCTGAAAAACCATCAACAACAAAAAAAGACAACCTATTGAATGGAAGATATTGGCCAATGATACATCCGATAAGGAGTTAATATTCAAAATTTATAAAGAACTCATGCAACTCAACACCAAAAAAAAAATCTAATTAAAAAATGGGCAGAGGATCTGAATAGACATTTCTCCAAAGGACATACTGATGGACAATAGACACATATAAGATTGCTCAATGTCATGAATCATCACAGAAACGCAAATTAAAATCACAATGAGATATCATCTCTGACTTGTCAGAATGGCTATCATCAATAAATCAAAAAACAGCAAGTGTGGCGAGGATGTGGAGAAATAGGAATCCCTGCGCACTGTTGGTAGGACTGCAAATTGGTGCAGCCACTGTGGAAAACAATATGGAGGTTCTTCAAAAAATTAAAACTAAAATTACCTTATGACTCCACAATTCCACCTCTGGGTATTTATCTGAAGAAATACAAAACATTAATTCGAAAAGATATATGCACCCCTATGTTCACTGCAGCGGTATTTACCATAGCCAAGATATGGAAGCAACCTAAGTGCCCATCAATAGATGATTAGATAAATATGTGGTACAGATATACAATAGACTATGACTTGGCCATAAAAAGAATGATTTTACCATTTACAACAAGGATGGACGTAGAAGGTATTACGCTAAGTGAAATAAGTCAGAGAAAGACAAATACCATGATCTCACTTGTATGTAGAATCTGAAGAAAATAAACACACAAAACAGAAACAGACACATAGATATAGAGAATAAATTGATGGCTGCCAGATGGGAGCGGGGTTGAGGAGCTGGGTGAAAAAAGTAAAGGGATTAAAAAGTACTAATTGGTAGTTACAAGAGTCACGGGGATGTGAAGTACAGCAAAGGGGATACAGTCAATAACATGGTAATAACTATGTATAGTGCCAGGTGGGTACGATTCTAATTGGGGGAACACTTCATAAATTATATAAATGTCTAACCACTATGCTGTACACCTGAAACTAATATTGGATGTCAACTGTAACTGAAAAAAAAAGTTTTTAAAGAGAAAAGAACCTGTTGAATGAAATAGATCTTTGTAAAAAAAAAAAACAACATACAAATATTGTTAATAGGTAAATATATATTAGTAAAAGCATATTGACATTAAAAATGCAGATGGGAAAGGTAAACACCAACTTCAAAACTGAGGTTACCTCTGAAGGGAAATGGGCCCAAAGGGCCCTGAAAGATGAGCTAAAAGGAAAATAGGTCCCAAGAAGGGGTAAAAACAAGGATTCAATTAGATAGTTAAATGTATTGTTTCCTTAGAATGATCTGAAGCAAATGTGGCAAAATGTGAAAACATTAAGTAAATGTGAACAGGTTTCAAAAAAGAGTAAATCGCTGGTTAGGGCATAAAGACTGGGAGTACTGCCTGATCTTTAAAATATCTTGGCTGTGAAGGGAAGCAAAAAGGTAGAGCAGTAGGTGAAAAGCAGATGCTGGGACCAAGACAGGGTTTCCTTTTTCAACATAAGGAAGGATAAAGAATGCACTAAAGGAACTATCCTTAAACAGAGGAAGGAACACTTCTTTTTCTTGGTCTGCAGGACAGACTGAGGTTATAGAAATACTCTACATTTATACATTCAATATAAAATGCAGAATGTATATAAAAAGCAAAGATACAGTTCTTTAATCGATACAACACTTAGAACACTGTTCAGTGCAACAATAGGTAAAGTGCTAAAATAGTGCAAAAACTACAGAGCATAGAAATCCAGAACTGGAATGTGTCATTTTGACAATTCCTCTTCTCTGATTTTTAACCAGTCACAACAAATACCACTTCCCCTTAAATGTTTCTTATATCCATTTATTATAGAATGTTTTCTATCTATCATTGGTCCTTAATCTTTTTTTGGTTCGTATGTTGAGAATTTGATGAAAACTATGAATGCTCTTTCCAGAAAACATACATAAGCATGAAAAAACTAACACATAACTTCAGAGGAAGTTCATAAACCCTCTGAGGCTCATTTATGACCCTAGCAGAGGGTAAGTACTCAATAAATAGTAGTGGAACCAATTAAAAGCAATCTTTAAATTTGTCTCATATACCTCCCTGGCCTTATTTCCTAGTTTCTTCTACTACGTCTGTACTTCCCATTAGCCATTGTTTTATTAGCCATTTCCTCAATCCTTTTAGCTCTGCAGAAATACCCATTCTCTTCACTTTACCCATCCATATCCTCCATAACTTTAAAGTGTAATTCAAGACTTGTTTTTTCTAATTTTTCTCAATTTATTCCAGCCTATGATCTCTTCCTCAATTTCTATTATCCTTATTAGAAATTCATTATGTTTTGGCCTGTAGCTTAGTTTGTTTATAGTGAATCGTCATTTACTTTTATACTGAAAAGTAACTCTTCAGGAGTTTAAGTCTTTTGTCTCCAAATTTAATGTAAATTATTTGGGTGGCTATATTTCTTTGACACCTTTTAATAACGAGCAGAGTGTCTTATCTATTAGAAGCATTCAATAAATTTTGGTTGTTAATAATTCCTAGAGTACTCTGACTATAAAGATTTCAAAAACCATAATGCTCATGACAGATGGGGATATTAGTGGAAGGCTTCTAATACCTGACTTAAGTACAATCTGAAGGGCGTATAGTTAAGACTGGTCAAGAGATAGGGAAACCACATTCCAGGTGAAGGAAATAACATGAACAAACTCATGGAAACATGGAGCAACAAAATTACCCACTTGGCCAGAAAAGTGGGTTTATGTGAAAGCACGTGAGGCAATGAGATGGATTATATAGGGCCAACTGCTAATTAGCAAGATGGGGAATTACAGTTTTGAAACTAGAAGGGACAATTGTGATCTTGCTTCTAAATCTCCCAATTAGAAATAATCCTAACCCAGCAACCTGACAGCATAGACTTTTCCCATGCTCTCCTAATTAATTCTTAAAATCAATATACAAAGCTAATGGACCACTAGCTTTACCTCCATTATATTCTTATGCTGTCAATATCTTGATTTACTTTTTTTTTTTAATTCTATATCTTGATTTAAACTTCTTCTTTATTGTTCCTTTCCTTCCTTCTTTTTCTAGTTCATCCAATGCACTCTGAAATGTGATATCTGGCAGTGGTTTGCAGTAGATTCCTTCCAAAAACTACCATGTACTTTGGGGCGTTAGGTATGTTTGGCTATCAATTAGTAGGCTATGTCAGTTCTTAACCCTTTGTTTTTTCTCTTTGTTTTGGGGGGGGAATTTTTCCTATAGCAAATGTGGAGCTTGTAGTTGGCCCTGTCACCACTAGATGGAACTAAATTGTTGGCCAAGATGGACTACTGGAGAGGGATGACAATCAGTGTTACCTACGGATAGTGACTTGTTAAGAGTAAAAAACGTAGATAAAATTCAAGAGGGTAAAAAGCAAGCCTGTTGGCATATTTTATGACTTACTGGTTCCTCTTCTAAAGCATCGTTAGCAAAGGGAAAAAGAGGAAAGAGCAATCTTTCCTTCTCTTTATCCTGGCCCTTATCATTCCTGTTACTTAAAATCCCACTTTGGAGTCTAGGGTTTAGGAGAATGGAGACATTTCAGTTGATAACAGAAACACAGAAAAAAAGCTTCTAGGCATTCTGACTATGGAGAGGGAGAGTATGCTTATATTAAAATGAGATAAAGTTAATTTACTTAACTTTACCTGATTTCTTTGCTTTAATACTAAAGATGTATCTTTCTGACTGCATTATTTTAATTCAATTTGTACAAGTACTTTTTTTTCTTTTTCATTTTCTTAGCTATTCTGTTTTCTTTAGTCAAACAGAATGAAGGACTATTCACTTTCAAAATAAATTCTGCCTGCCTTATTTTCCTTTTGAACTTTGTATCTTTTGGAATAACTGGAGTGAATCACTATTCTGTTAAAATGTAAGATTTTTCTCTTTTCAAATGTCTACATAAAAATCTTAGAAAACACTGTATGATAAAAAATCTGTATGTATAAAAATAAAAACAAAGACTTGTTTTTTAAAAGTTTATTAACATGCATACCCTAAGAGATACTAATAGACACATACCTTTTGACATAAATTCAGTGACAATGTAAATTGGCTCTTCAGAAACAACAGCATATAGTGGGACAAGTTTGTCATGTCTTAATTTTTTCATTATCTGAGCCTCTTGAAGAAAAGCGTCTGGCATCATTGTACCTGGTTTTAGTGTTTTGATCGCAACTTTTGTGGTTCCGTTCCATGTTCCTAAAAAAACAATACTTTTATTGTTTTAATCTATATTTGAAAAGAATTTACACCAAACTTTAAGGAGCAGCATTATCTTAAATATTTCAACCTATCTTATAATTAATTGTGGCATTTTAATCTATGGCTAAACAATGACAAAGAAAACTGAAAGTTCAGGCTTCTTACCCATCCATACTTCACCAAAACATCCTTGTCCTAGCTTAACTTCTAGTCGCAAAGATTCCCGAGGGATTTCCCAAGCATCTTTTGCTAGACCTTGAGTCTGCGGTTTCACAGTTGGACACACAGTTGTTAACTTATGACATAAACCATCAGCGTGTTCTAGATAAATGAATAAACTACACTGTAAAATGAATTACTCAGAAAAATTAAGGTACATGTACTATCAATATTTTAAAAAACTTAAATTATAGAAAATCAAAACAAAAAATAGTGTTCTACCAGTTTTTTTATAAAAGCACAAACACAAGGGAGTTGTACATAAGTAAAACATAAGAAATAAAACATTTTGTTACATTTTAAAAGTTATTACTTATTAAATACTTATTATGTTCCAGCAATTGTACTAATTGAGCACTTTACAGATCTCAGTTGAGTCTTGGAAAACTAATCTACTTTCTCAAGGTCACTTAGTGATGTAGATGGGATTCAAACTCTAGGTCTGGCTGCCTCCAAAGTTCTGCTTTTGACCACTGTGCTTTATTTCTTCCCAAAGAGAATACTACCATTAATTGTTATTTCTAGTAACTACCAATATAAGAGGGATACCAAAAATCAAAGAAAAATTTCTGCATTTAGGACACTGAATTTTAAATAAGGGAGACACAAAAACAGGGAATCTCAAATTCATAATAGTTTGATTTGTGAATCCTGCTTATACAATCTTTCTTATTGTAAATAAGACATGTTCTTTCCCGTTCTCAGCAAGTAACCACACAAACCCACATTCTAACAAGTACAATTACAACTGATGTCACTGCTTGGCAACATGTTTGATCACTGTCAACACGGGCGGTTGATTTGATAGATTCAGTTTGCAGCTAGCCGTCACTGAAGAATAAATTGCTATGGAAACTTCTCCTTCCCTAGTATTAATCATTTAAAGAATTTCAAATGCATTCATATATCAAATTGGCAAAGAAAATTTTTGAGACAGAAGACTCTAAGACTGCACCTTTCAAAGGCCCTTGAAAGACTGAGGAATGTCTAGAGTTGTTACAGGTTAATTTTCCAGGAAAAGAAACATGCATCTTCATTGGATTTATTTTACTTAATAAATAAATCTCTACGGATTTATCCTTTAAGAAATCTCATATACTCCAGCCCATGCAGAGGAAAGTAAACCAAAAGGATATCTGATACAGCTTTTTCATAGCTTTACCTACTTAACAAGTGTCCTTAAATAAAACACTTATTTTATTTATTCCCACAATCTATCTTGTTATTTAGCTGTTATAACATGGAACTCTAATGTAAACATAATGCCAGTAAGATATTAAGACTTAAATGATGATAATCTGATTTTAACACATCATCCAAGAATATAATTCAGGTATAAGTATTATCAGTTCCTCATTTAAAAACTAGAATACAACAGATATTTAGTGAGCACATACTATGTGTAAAGTAGCATGCTAAACTTTAAGAGATATGAAACATGAATTTTGTCCTCATAAAATAGAACATGAGGAAATAATTTTCACCTTTGAAATATTCACATACCTGTGTAATGTTTTACCAATTTCTGCAGAGTATCAAATTGTGCTCTGGTTGTGATATAGTATCCACCATTGTCAAGTTTCCTTATTTTGTAGTGTTTCACATTGTCACCTCTTACTTCATCCCAATCACGAATAGAGAGGGAAAAAGCACCTGTGGGGTGGGGGTGGGGGGGTAGGGTGGAATAAAATCTTTATCTTTCTCAAAATACTGCCTAAGAATATTTTTATACTTACATTAACATAACATTCATACCTTTAGTAGTTTCACTCTCTCGTACTAAGAAAATACCTCGTTGATTCCCAGGATTCAGAAGTAATCTTTCAGCATCTTTTCTCCCCATTTTGCCAAAATACCATCTGGAAAAAAATTAATAGTGTTCTGAGTTAGAAAGGTGTATGGATAAGAAAAATTATACATAAGTATTAACAAGAATGGAGTAGGATTTAAAGGATGATAAAGAATAACTATAGAATATATCATAAAAATACAGTAAAACACAATGAAAGCTATTTATTAAATAGGAATATTACTGTCAGAATATACTCTGGCATAGTATTTCCACGTATTGACTATTCAACACGTCTCTTAAACTCCACCTGGCAGGGTAGTAAGGGTAGTAAATGGAGAAGGAAAGGCAATGAGACAGAGCCCTTCAATCAGTGACAGATAGAAATACTAAGACTATAGTATGAAGAATAAAAGTGATTCTCTGGTGACAGTGTGATCATCCACATTTAGTAGGATGCAAGTAAACTATATCCAAATTCTTAGGAATTCTAATTCATGTAAGTTTGATTTAATACAGTTTTGTGAATAAAAGTGACAGTTAAGGAGACAAATTACATATCATTAGTAAAAGCAAACAAACATTGATAGAATACCACTATATGCAAGGCATAGTGTTAAATGTTATGATATGAAAATAAAATAGCATTTATGGATCCCAGATAAACTTGGTTTGACTTGAACGTAATATATCATTAAAGGTGAACTTTAACTTTTTAAAAGTTGCAAGAATAGTAGACAGAACTCTTATAAACCCTCCACCCAGGTTTCCCAACTGTTAACAATTTGCTTTGTCATAGTTTCTTCCTGACTGTGTATAGGTGTGTATAATTTTTTCTGAACTGATTGAGAGTAAGTTACAAACATGCTGAATTGTTATTCCTAAAATACTGCAATGTGTTACTTCCTAAAAGACAAGGATACTCTCTCTCCTAAAAAGGAGCAAGCACTTAAGTCAAGAAAATAACACTGATATAACACTCTCAACAGAGGGTAAACTTTTAAAGTGAGACAGTACACAAAGAATACAAAAAGGGTTAACATAATTTTTTAAAGTAAAAGAGTAAAGGCATAACAGTACTATAAGTGTAGATTTATTTATGATCCTGCTCTAAGTGAATACTATTGCATTAATTATTAATTTTCAAGTAACATCCCCTATTAATATGATACATTAGCTATATTAAGACTGATATGTAATTGTGTGTGTGTAAAGTTGTGGCTAAGTAGAATGTGCATTAAAACATTTTAAAAATCAAAACAATTAATAAAATATGAAGTAGCACCATACTCTTCTGCCTGAATGGAATCTGCAGGGGCTACATAATTGCTGGGGATATAACCATTCTTTCCTGTAGCAATTGATCTTGCTTCCCACCAGTCTCCTTCCCTGCAACACACAAAACAACAGTAATCACACGGTAGACTACTGTTCAAGGCACGATCTATTGCAGTGTTGTCTTGTATCTGAAGGAGACAAGAGATATTACTTTCATTTTGTATTTATGCATTCATCTGCTCAAGAATCAAACTCAAAGACTACTACTAAAAATAGGTTTTATGAATTAAGAGAATAAGCAAATGCACAGCTGCATTTCTGCTCCAAACCAAAATAAAATATCACAGTTTAATTTTAGTTATAAGATCACTTTGTTACAAACTCTTTCAACCTGGGACAATCAACCACACTGAATAAAACAATCTCAGAGGTAAATCTTTCAAATTACTCAGTTTTAATTGTTTCCTTTTTAAAAGCTTTATTGAGGTATAATTTGCATACCATAAAATCCTCCCATTTAAGATGTACAATTTAGTGGATTTAAATATATTGAGAGTTGTACAACTATTACCACAATCAATTTTAGAACCTTTCCATCAACTCCCCAAAGAAACCCATTTCCATTAACAGTCACTCTCCACTCCCTCCCTTCCTGCCCCCACCACTACCAATCTGCTTTTTGTGGTTTTTAATCTATGGATATACCTATTGTGGACATTTCATATAAATAGAATCATACAATATATGGTCTTTTTGACTGGTTTCTTTCACTTGGCATAATTTTTTCAAGGTTCATTTATGTTTCTGCATGTACCAGTAGTTCATTCTTTATCTTTGCCAAATGCTTTTCTTTTAATAGTCTATAAAATTATAATGCTCCTTTTTAGTCACTTTAGGAAAAAAATCAAGATGCCCTAGAACTCCTGTAGCCAAAATATTGTCAATGGGCAATAACAATAAAAATTTAATTATTGGAATAAAGTATATACAAAAATATTATCTTAAATATCCAAATAAGACTAAAAGCAATTTAGAACATGAGAACTATATACAGTTCATAATACATAAGTCTTGACTCTTGCAAAATTAATGTGAAAGAAGTAAATATTATCAGTCTCTAATGAGGAATATATATGGGTTCCACTATTGAAAATTAAAAGTTACGTTTTGCTTTACCAGAGTAAAGTACTGAAAATAGTTTATCTAAACTGAAATTTCATAAATGCTTAAGGTGCATTTGCTTTCTAGAAAATGAAATGAAAATAATCCTTTGGTAATTCAAACATTTACGAACTCATACACTTGATTTGTAGCTTCCTAGTATATATTACATACTTTCAGACATACAAACTGAAAACTTTATATTTAATCCTGCCAACCATTCATTGATTCATTCAAACATTTACTGAATATCTTTTAAATTTTATAAAAAGTTGTGCTAGAAAAAAGGGTAAAAAGATAGTCTTTACCCTCAAGAAATGCACAGTCTAGAGCAGAATTTCTCAACCTTGGCACTATTGACACTTTGGGCCAGATAACTCTGTTGTGGAGGGCCATCCTGTGCATTGCAAGATGCTGAGCAATATCCCTAGCCTCTACCCACTAGATGACAGTAGCAGCACCCTGAATTTAACAACCAAAAATGTCTCCAGAGATTGCCAAATATCCCCTGGGCAATTTTACCCCAGGTTGAGAACCCTTGTTTAAAGAATGATAAGCAAGTGATAAGTTATAATTCAAAATTGGGATGGCAGCTATGCTTAAGGTTTGCATACGTTGCTATGTGAACATTTAAGAAAGGCACTTAATCCAGCAGGAGGTGGGGACTGGGCCACAAGGGAGCGGAAAAATGTCAAGAAAGGCTTCCTTGAGAAAGGACGTCGAAATATACATTCTGAAGGATGAGTTCAGTTGGCCAGATAAAGGGGAAAAAATGGAGAGATAAAATGTCATATTACAGAAGAAAGAAATCACATGTGTGAAGGCGTGAAGAAAGTGAGAAACCACAGTGTATTCAGAAAATTCAAGTAATTCGACATGGTTAAGCAGTGGAGTGACAAAAGGGAAGAAGCTTAATGAGTGATGCCTACTATTATTGTTACTTTTCTTTTTGTTGATGGCAACTGATAGCTATTGAAGGGTTTTAAAGCAGAGAGACATGAACATTTTTTATGTTCTGGAACAATAACTGGTAGTAAATGGGAATAAGAATGGACTGAAACATGACTGGAAGCAAAGAGACCATAAATATGTATTTTGAGAACATACAAAGTGGTTGCTACACCTGCTAACAAAATTATGGGATCTATTTTCCATAGCTGGAATTTCTATGGTGGGCCACTAACTGACAACAAGTCTAAGAATCACCTAGGAAAAAAGCAACTTACTTTGGGCAGTTTGGAATTACAGAAGTTCCTTACCTAATCTTTTTCCTTTCTTTCTTTTTTTTTTAAGAAAGGGATAAGATCTTTAAATCATTTAGTACTTAAATAGAAATATAAAATTCTCTTTATAAAGATATTTTTTAAGTAATGTTTTTTGAAAGCAATATTACTTGTTTACATATAATCGCTCAGTCTTCATTCTTAAATCTCTACCTTTCATGGCAGAACCACAACAGCACAATTTGTAGAAGTAACTTCTGGCTACATGAGTAGTATTCTGCCATGTGTCTAATGAAACCAAAGGCATCATCCAACCCAGTGGGCAGAGACCCATGCCCTACTACTCGCGTCTCTGAATCGTCAGCTAGGTCAGTGGTTTCAGTTGAAAGACCAGGTTGTTACAGTCAGTATTTTTCATTCACAACACTTACGTATTGTTAATTATTTGAAATCTTTCACCCTTCTTAAATGAAAGGTCTTCTGTAGTTCTAGCTTCATAATCATATAAGGCCACGAATATAGTTACACCACCTAATGAAGGAATAAAGACCAAGGTAAATTATATGGGCAAATTAACAAAAAAGGAAAAAAAAAAAACCACTGCCAGCAAAAAAATTTAAGCATAGTTTTTTTCACAGTCTCCAGAATCTATTTTTAAAAGTTGGAAATATGGGCAGCTGGCATTTTCAAGTTACTAAGATGCTCTCTTAAGACCTTCTATGAAAGTTATGTACTTTATAAATTCTAAAATTCTACAGACCCAGAGAAACACATTTAATTTTGATTCATAGTAGCAACATCTCTAGCTTGAAAGACAGTCAATATTCAAATCAGTGATTTGGCAGAAAAAGCATTAACGAGTACTATAAACTACTGTCACTGATGGTCTAAGCTTCTTATGAACAATGAGTGAACATTTTGATCTTTGAGACTCATCATTAACAGCAATAACTAGGGTTTTAGTAAGATAATTTATTATATTAAACATTCAAATATAAAAACGGCATGTTTTTCTTAGTAATTAAATTTTATGGCTAACATGAATTACAAATGCCAAAAATCACTGTGTCATATATAGCAGCAGGCCTCAACCTTTCTGACACCAGGGACCGGTGCTCCTATGAGAAACTAATGCCTGATGATCTGAGGTGGAGCTGAGCTGCTGGGGAGTGGCTGCAAATACAGATGAAGTTTCGCTTGCTTGCCTGCTACTCACCTCCTGCTGTGCGGCCCAGTTCCTAACAGGCCACTGACTGGTACCGGTCTGTGGCCCAGGGACTGGGGACCCCTGCCTTATATATACCATTGTGTACAGATGCTTAAAAGATTAGCACACTTAAACAGCCAAACTATTATCTACCAACAAAAGAATAAAACAAATTATCTCATTTATTGGACTTCCCCCTCTCCCCCACTCCCTGGTTCCAGTTCTATATTAACTACCTATTTGACATCTCTACTTGACTGGTCTAACAAGCTTTTAAAATGTATTAGGTACAAAACAAAGGTGTTGATTTTCCTCTTCTAACCTGCTACCCAAATCTTCCCTACCTAAGCAAATGGCACTACTAACCAATCAGGTACTCAACTCAAGCCAAGCCCGTGACGAGCACTGTCAGTTCTACCTCTAAAATATCTTATCTACTTTCTTTTCCATTTCTACTGCTGCAATCTTAATCCAAGTCCTTATTATCTTTCACTGGGACTGCAGGGTCTACTGAGAGTAGTAGCCTCCTAACCTGCTTCTGTATCTGCTTCCATTCTCCATTCTCCGCACAGCTGCCAGAATGTTTTTTAAAAAGGAAATTCAATTACGCAAACTTTTTACTAAATTTTCTACAATAGCTTCTTTCTGGCTTTAAACAAAACCCAAACTTCTTACCAGAGTCTATGAGGTCCTGAGTAATCCTGCATCAAACAATCTTACTACCTTTCCATACTGAGCTCCTCACTAGTCCTCAAAAACTGCCAAGTCCAACGGTACCTACTAAACTCTGCATTCATTATTCTCTCTCTCTAGAAAGCTCTTTTCCCAGTTCTGCATATGTTTGGGTCATTCTCATTAAACAAATTTCAGCTCAAATGATTTTTTCTCAAGATGCCTTTCCATGATCATCCAAATGGCCTTCGCCAAGTTTCTGGTTAGTTCTTTCATAGCATTTAAGAACCATTAAGCATACTGTTTAGTTGTTTGTATAATTATTGCCCAATCTTCACTATAATGTAAACTCCATTAGGGCAGAAACCTTGTTTCTCTTGCTTACAACTTTCTATACCTGGCACACAGACACTCCATATTTATTAATAAATGAACACCCATGAACTTACTATTTCATGTAAATAAACTGCTTTAGGTAGCTGAAGTATGTCTTTAAATTTAATATTTACTTTAATCATTTTGGATTACTATCTTTCCCAAACATAGAATCCTGAAAATATTTTAAACTTTAGCGGATGACCGAGAAATACCATCATGGCCATTTATTACTGAAGTATTTAGAGTCAGGAAGTTGGAATTAAGATTGTAACTGACTCGGAGGTCTATAACTCCCCAAATGAACAGTCTAACAGCATCAGTGCATGGCATTCCTCTGGTTTATTATTGGTCTAGAGGCAAGCAAATTGAAGGGACAAATTTATAGTCCATGCTTATAGAAAAGATTCTTCTTTTGTCTCCATTGATTGTCAGTAAGGACACATGTTGCTTAATTTGATGCTGGCAACTGTTCTGTCAAGTCTAAAGATAAAGTGGACAGACACTCGAAGGGCTATAGGAGAAAGAGCAAAGAAACATGAGTTGTTGATGACATCAAAGAACTGCTGAATCAATGAATCCTGGAGCTCATGCTACTCTTTTAAATCAGATGTATTTTGTTATTCAAGGGAAACGCCTCTAGACATCAGATCTTTCCAAAAGAACTCTCTCTTTAAAATTTCTGACTAATTTTTAAGAGTATTTCTGGCTCCCTTAAAAGTTGTCAGCTGTCACTTCTTGCTGTTCTCTGAAAGGATATTATGATATAAATAATAAATAGAGTTCTGGAATAGGACATTAAATCTGGGCTCTCCTGCATATTATCTGTGATTCTAAAAAAAAAAAAAAAAAAATCATTTAAACTTTGACCCTCAATTTTTTTTAAAGCAGTAGTACTTAATAGAAAAAATATATTATCACCACACTGCCACTTAATTAACATTTATTAAGTAATTACTAAAATATTTTAATAGCGGATAGCACTTTACAATCCTAAGAGTAACATTCATGAGGGTGGGGTATATTTTTTAAATTTTATTTTTCAATTACAGTTGACATATACTATTATATTAGTTTCAGGGGTAAAACAGTTAGCAGACATTTATATAGCTCATGAAATGATCACTCTAATAAGTCTAGTACCCATCTAACACCATACATAATTATTACAATATTGCTGACCATATTTCCTATGCTGTACTTTATATTATGGTTTAATCTTTATATCCCCAGTACCAGCCACATAATGGGCACTCAATAATTATTTGACAAATGAATTAATGAAATAATTAATGATGTAACTCAATACATAATTACCATCAGATTATCACCAAATTTCCCAGAACATCCATGTATATAACACTTTAATTTTTATATTAGACTTTAATTTTCACATAAACTTATTTAAAAAGTCCCCCAGTAAGTTATTTCTCTTACAGAAGGCAAACCTTATGTATGTATTGCCCAAAGTCATGTTCTCAAAATGACAACAGAACTGTCCATTTAATCTCACCTGTTAAACCAGCAGGAAATGAACTTGGCACCACTGAGAATGAGGAAGATGCTCCTCCAAAAGGTGTCACCCCTGAGGATCCTCCAAATGGTGTCATGGAAAGACTGTTAAAATTAATAGATGTTCCCTTTGCTGTAGATGTCGGTGTCGCTGCAGTGTGTTCTGCTCCATAATGGGTGACACTTGTATTGACAGGTTCTGTAGTGTTTTCTGTTCTATGTTTAATGGTTGGACTTTTGTTCTCTTTACTTTTAATGCAGCCCATTATCAAATCTACAAAAGTAATAAGGCAAATACTTTGAGAAGCAGTTAACATAAAGGACATGTCAAAAGATGTAATTCAAAAATTGACTTTAAACATGGCATTTTTCTCCTGAAAAAAAAAAAAAAGTAACATTAAACAAAAGAAAAGCAAAAAATCAGACAGCTGAAAATGAAGTCCCTTCCTCTCATTTGTCTTTATTACAATTCTGCTAAAGCATCATTCCAATCATGTCATTCTCTACCTCAACCACTTTAATGGCCCAATGACAACATGCCACAGTGTCCAGGCCAAATCAAGGGCTGTGAAGCCAGAGAGATCTAAGTTTGAATTTTGGCTTTCTATTTACTAGTGGAGTGATGCAGGTATGTTGCTAAACCTCTCTGTATCTCAGTTACTTGAAAAGAATAATAATATCACCTACTTCATAATGTTTTCTATGAGGATTAACTTAAGTTCTAGATAATATCTGGCATGTAGTAGGTACTAGCAAATACTGGCTATATTCCTTCTATGTATACCAGCACTGTGTAACAGAAATATAATCTGAGCCGCAATATAATTTAAAAATTTTTAGTAGCCACATTAAAAAAAAACAGGTAAAATTAATTTAAGTAATATATTTTATTTAACCCAATACATCTAAAATATAATTATTTCAACACAGCAATATAAAAGTTTTGAGATGTTTTATATTGTTTTTTGTACTCTTAAAAATCTGATACGTATTTTAAACTTAAAATATACCTCAATTTGGGCCAGGTACATTTCACGTATTCCAGAGCTCTATGTGGCTGGTGGCTACCATATATGACATCTTTTCCCTTACCTACTGATAGACACATCTCCAGTGCTTACCAAATATGACGCCAATTCAACTTCTCAACTTCATCTCCTATTATTTCCTCAAACTTTTCTCATGTGTACAAGAAAAAAAAATCCTATTTCCTCAATACCTATGCCCTGTATTTTCTTATTTTTGTGGGGTTTTTTTTTCCTCATAAAAGTGCCTCTGTCCATAATACTCTCCTCACATCTCTACTTGCTAATATTTATCCATTAGCTGATGAAAATCACAAAATACTTTTCCTTTTAGGCTCTCTCTCCACATAATTGGTACAATATATTTTTCCTTAGAACATGCAGTGTACTTTTGGGAAGATTTTTATATGAGACTCTCATCTTATTGCTTTTTTTTTGCTTACTAGCCTAATTCTCAAGCTTCCAAATTACAGGCAATATATTTCTTAAAAGCAAGAGTTACGCCTCTCTTATACACTGTACAGCCTACCAACATGACATTCATATGTTTACTAACATTACAATATTACTAATACTAATATTGCATTAGTCTATTCACTTTCTGAAGCAGCACTAATAGAGATTTCATTAATTCACTTACTTTTAAAGGTCATTCTCATTTTACAGTTTTTCTCATATGGCATTCAAAAGGAAGAAGGTGAATAATGACTGTCTCAAATTCTAAAAGACTGAATGTTTATAACCTTGGCTGTATAATATTAATTTAAACTGTGGCTATAAATATTAAAATAGAAACAGTCTCAGAATCTCAGAGTTGGAAGGTTTCCATATCACTCTTAAATGAGTATATTCTCAAGATGTGACAGTTAAGGCCAGCACTGAAACATGACGGGCTGGAAATCTAAATATCTACTGAAAAAACACCATGAGACTTATAAGATAAATGCATAAAAGGCTTCTAAAAGTGAAAGAAGAAACAAAATATAACTCGTTTCACAATCTAGTGTTGGCAAAGTCTTTTAAAGCAGGGGTGCCCAACCCCCAAGGCTGCAAACCGCTACTGCACAACAGGAGGTGAGTGGCAGGTGAACCAGCAAAGTTTCATCTGTATTTGCAGCTGCTCCCCAGCACTAGCATCACCATCTCAGCTCCACCATAGGTCATTAGGCATTAGATTCTCATAGGAGCACTGGTCCCTGGTGCCAAAAAGGATGGGGACCACTGTTTTAGAGCATAATGTAAAATTAGAAATCTTAAAGGAAAAGACTAACAGACACGTGATTATTGAACTTCCATGGGGACAGGGGTAGAGATAAAAACTCTTAAGTGAAGCTAAAGATATGAGAAATAGGGAGGGTATCTTTGTACTTGCTCATGCTCTTACTTCCCCTCTCAAGACACACACAAATGTACACATATGAAAACTGGGTGGCATTCTTAATATATACAACCCTTACATATTAAAAAAAAAAAAAAAGATAGCCCCTCAGAAAAATAGGAACACCTATCAAGAGGCAATTCACAGATAAAATATGAAAGGCCAATTAGTATATGAAGACATGTCCAACCTTCCTAGTCTTCTCTAATAAATGTAAATTTTAAAAGGTACC